AAATATAGAAAATCTAGTAAAGGCTTGACCATTAACCTTCAGAGAACATTTAGATCTATGCTTGTAAATTCAGTTTTGCAAGTGGTAAGACAGTTAATCAATCTCACCATTTTCAGAATTACAGGCAAAACCCCCTTTGATTTACTGTCCTCAATGTTTCCAAACCAAACATAACAAAACTACTCACTTTCATTTATAAGCATTCTGTAGAAACTAATCAAGCCATTCCTTTGCTAAGTATATAGGAAAGAAAGAAACAGAGATTCTTCTCAACATCATTACTAAATATTTGGGAAATATTCAGATTCAGTTACGACAGGAATATACAATCACGAAGCCAGATTTTGTTCCCACCTCCACTTCCTCACTGTCTGATCCTGGCTGCATGAGATGTAATCTCTACCTGTATTAGGAGTCTATATACATACACACACATAGATACAAGAGACAAATAAGGAGGCAATCATATTCTATTTCTGCAAAGCACTTCCAAATCCCTAGATGAAAATCACTGAAAACGTACAAGCTATCATCACAGCCAAAGCACTACTGGTTGATGATGCTACCTGAAAGAGATCCTGCATCCATACATTGGCACAAACACAGAACAGCACCAGACAAATGTCAGCACCAGCAGTGGGGTTCAGCCTGGATCATTCTGGTTTCTTAAATGAAAAGTTTCAAATGAAATGTACCAAGGAATTCAAAATACTGAAGGAAAGAAACAGGACAGATAGGGAAAAGGCATGTTTTATGTATGGTTATACAATTTGTGACCTTCAAGCTAAAGCAGAAAATAAAAAAGAAACCATGATTAAAGAATATTTCCGGTGCAAAATTCTACTAACTGATGAGAAATTTGGAAGCAACAAATCAGATAAGAAAATGCCATAAACTGGATTTGAAATGTTAATTTTCCTTATATGATTAAAAGATGCCCATTGTTTAACCATAGTGGGAAGCACTTTTCCATCCCAGGAAAAAAAAATAACAATCAGAAAGTTTTTTGAATATTCTTTCCACACTCTCTGCACTTTTTCTTTTTTCTTCCTTCAAGGAGATTGTGAGAGATTTAAGCTTGCTTGGGGACAGATTACAGAAAAAAATAATAGCAGTCATAAACTGTTTAGGGAGTGAATTGCTGTCTCCTCTTTTATTTGGGATTAGACATACTTAAACAAGATCAGTAAGGGACTTTTTCAGGGGAAAAAAACAGTGGCTGTCAAGAAGAAATATTTGCTATACCTAGAAAACTAAGTAGTTTTCTACTCAGAATAAAAAAATAGTACATACAATATAGCTGGAAATTAAAGCACAAGTGAAACATTTTTTGGAAGGAAAAGACCAAAAATTATTTATGTCTCAAAAACCAGGGGAAAACTGCTATTCATAAGAAAAAAAAGCCTGGAATCCCAAAGAACTTCTGACTTCATGTTTGAAATCTGACATTCTTTAACATGGGCCCTGGTATTAGAAGATGACATTATTGTTGAGGTGTAAAACTGAGTGGTGGTCATCTGAAACAGAAATTTGTTCAGGTCTTCTAAGAAGAAAGTCTTACCTGGTTACAGCTTCTTGTATTAAATTTACCCTTCTTTGTTACATGATTTTAGGTTTGCTGCATATTGTTTTATGTTTTTTTAAACTGATACAGGAAAATAACGATTCCAGCTGCATTTGACCAGAAGGCACCACCTTTACTAGTGATGTACATAAATAATTTAGATCTAAATTTCCGAACTTTTGCCAGGGAAACAGGCTGTCGCTTTTGAAGTTGTGAATTATTATTAATAATTATCATGTTGTCCTTATGTTAAGGACAATACAACTGGCAAGAAATCATGTAGCAGTCTCGAGCTGAACATGCGTGCCTTGAGTCCTACCTTAAGATCTCTGAAACAACCTTGTTACTATGGGAAAGACATAGGATGGTGTGCTTCCTGGATTGCTTCCACTACTTCTAAGCAGTCCCTACAGAACGAAACGGGAGTCCCTCTACTCCTGCTCAGCAGAGAATGAAAAGGAGCAGCTTTGGTTGCCGTTTTGACTATGTTCTGGAGGACAGTGAGAAGAGAGCTTGACTGGTGTCACAAAATATGTATGAAAAGGTTACTTCTTTACTTTCATGCTCCCAGCAGCCCAAGAAAGGTTGAAAAGTGATCTGATATTCTGTTTCATGGTCTCATTCCTTATGTCCAGTGAAAAACAGACTGAGAAAAACAGTCCTTGTGTGTATTGCCTACCTATGATTTCCAAAGAACCATGCACCAGGTGGAAACAAATGGAGCACAGCACGCTTAACCATTTTCCCTCCCTACAATCAGTGTGCCTCCTGTGTTCGGGGCAGTAGGAAGGGAGGCACAAGAGCTGGCTTACATCAGCTCCACATCGCCTGAAGAGATGTAGATGGTTTCCATTTTCTGTGTGCAGAATGCAAAGAAAGGAGAACAAGGCAAATTAATTGCCCTGATACATTGACTGTGGCTGTCCAACATGTTTTAAATGTTTCGACTGTGGTCTAAAACGGTCGGACATCACTGGTGTACATGCAGATACAGACGGTTGCACACTTACAAAAGGATTTTTTAATGTCAGCCAAACTGAAAAGGAGGAAGCATGAGGAAAACATATGTAAGTAATGAGGTGAGAACACCAGTCTCAGCTTTCTGAATTCCCATGTAAGTACAGTGAAATTTCACAAAGAAAGCATTCCTGATTAGGTTTTTTTTTTTTTTTTTTTTTTTAGTTTCAAGGACTCTGCAGCACAGCAATATCTGTGTATTTAACTAATGTGACAAGTTTTAGTGTGTCCTAATCAAACCTAATCACCCCTACTTTCTACTAGGTACTACACTGATCAATGGAAAAGCTTTCTAGGCAAGAACTTGGAAAATGATAAAAGCATTTGCCATCGTTATTTTCTGCTTTTGACAATGATCTATGTCTGTACAGCTCATCAGTCATCTCTTGTAAAAACAGCGTGGCACTTTGATCAAACAGCCAACAATAGCTTCCCGCGTAAGGTAAAATGTTATGAGAGGCCATCAGATAGAAATCACATTTTCTCTGAACAATAGGAACCCAGAAATGATGTGCTTGATTTACTTGCAAATAAAATCATGTGAAAGGTGATACCTTCACACAGGTTAAAAAGACAGTGATCCTTTTATTCACCTTTCTGCATGTTAAACAAACTTCACTGTCATGTTGCAACTGAGATGGAGTGTCTACACAGTGATAAAGAGGCACATTCCAGCTCTACGAAACATAACTGCCACTGTTGAAAAATTACCTGCATTAAACCTTACACTTATCCCACAAATTTTAAGAGCAAGATGTGGGAGTTTGATTTTGATTACAGGCTTCTATCTGTGTGGTAGGCAAAGGTCTTTAACCTACGCGTTCTGAATGTACTAGGTACATAGTTTCATCAATGTCATGCCTCATTGGGTCAATGTAGGATTTTATCTAAAACCTGAGGCTTTTCAGTTTACACTGTATATGCAAACACAACCTTTTACTGGTGCTCTCTGCCTTTTGTTTCATTGAGAGGATCTATGGTATTTATAGAAAAGGGGGCTGGAGGCATCTTAAACTTATTTTACTCACTTAGATTCCTATTGAGTCGAGGTCTTCAAGTGAGAAATCTTGTTTATTTGAAGACTGATGTGTGCCAGAGCCAGTGGAGCTGAACACTTTTTAGAGTTAGAAAAATTGCCACTCTTCTTTTTCTACTTTTCTACTTCCTTTTCCCCAAACCTCTACTGATTGCAACAACATTCATTTTTAAGAGGGCTGACACAGATTCCCCTGCTTCTGAACATAAATTGAAGTAAAACATATTATCCCAATTTATTTTTGCGGTCTGTAAATGACTGATTATTTTTGTAGAAAAGGTAATACTGAGGTAATACTGATGTAGATAATCTTCTCTTGATTTTTTTTTGACGCGTGTCAAGATTCACACAGGTATTTAGGCACTTAACTTCCATTTGTCTCAAAGAAAGAGATGCATTTGGATTCTGTGCCCAAGTTCACATAGCAAGATGTGTCTGGAGTTCATACTAACAGGAGAAATTGATCTCCCAAGTAACAGAGAGTTTTAACCAGTTAAGTTGTGATGCTGTGTAGATGGTGGTCATCATTACTAATTGAAATAAACATTGGAAGAAAAAAGAAAGAATCTCATCCAATTAAAACACTAACAGCTGATACCTGGTAGGAAGTTGGGAACTTCCTACTCTGATGTAGACAAGGATTACACCATCTTTCTGACACGTATATGACGTATAAACTGAATTTTTTTCTCAGAACTTTCTATTAACTTCTGATTTTGCAAAGCTTACAGTGAAATAGACGAGTATACAATGCTACGTTTCCAGGAGTGATGGCCACTTGGTATTCCGCTGCAGTTTCAGTCTGATGTGGTGTTTGCCATGACTTAATTCTCAGTTCTGACATAAGTGCCATGAAGTACCTGCATAGTCCCATTGCAAAAGCAGTTCAAAGGGTAAAGGAAAATGCACAGGTAAAGTTTCAACAGAAGCCGGAATTTGAAACAAGCGGAGAAGTTGCCTGTAGCCTACCGTGACAGTTGTAATGGGGAGGGGGGTGTCTCAGCTCAGAAAAGCTTTTTTAATTGATTAGCAGTCACTTTTTTTGTGATTTAATCAAGAAAAAGAAAAATACTCATGAATCATATTGTCTAAAGGTATGCTATCGCACAGCTGCCAAGAATGGTGGTCTCACCCCTCATGGCTTCCAGGCCTATTGCTGCTTTGGAGTTATCATGGTGCTCAACTCCTCCTGCAGACAGCAGACTCATGGAGCTAAACTAGAAATTTAAACATGCAAAATCATGAATAATCTCCTGCTTGATTACCTGCTCAACTTTCTAAATCAGCTCAGTGTGAGGTCAGATTAATGCCAGTGTTGGTGCAAAGTAGAGGGGGTAGGAACAGGACTGGTTGTTGTTAGGCTTGCCTAGCTGAGAAAAATACCTGAAAAACTCAGTATAGCGAAGTTTTTCCTTTCCTTCTTTTCCAAAGAAATGTACCAGCAACATGGTATTAACACCAGAGCTTTCCAGTTCTGCTCCCTATAAAACAAAAAACTCTATGATTAATTATTACGCATTGTACAATTATTAATATCTATTCACCACAAATCTGGAAATATTGATTTTAACTAGAATTTCACAAGAGATACTTGCAATTTCATTACTGTTCCCAAAGCTATCACACAAGATCTCAGAGCTGAATCTCAGAGCTGAGTAATTCTTTCACATCAACTGGTAACAGTATTATATGTTCTGCTTCTAAATATTTTGTATGAAAGATGAATACAATTTACAACCACCTTCAGTTGTAAAATAATAATTTTATTATTAGAACTGAGAAGGTTGCTAGCTAAATCTTTAAAAACCTTTACGCTTAGGTGAATAGAACCTTTAAATAAAGTTATCTTCATAAAAAAGTTTTTAGTCAGATATTTCTAATCTGATACAGCCATTTAAAAACATTCATGATAGTCTAAGAAACAAAACTAGAAAAATACAAACATTCAAAGTGCTCTATTATAATATGGTCTTACAAGGCTTCTTGCCAATTTTCAATGTTTGTGACTTTTCTATATATTTTTAAAATCTGATTAAGAGATTTCTGCAGAAAAAGGATGCACATTATTTCAACTCAACAGCATCTTTAACAAGCCTAAAACCACACATAATGCTGGATTTCTTTTCTATTCTTCTTTCAGCACTAGCGTACTGGCATTTCTTTGAACACAACAAAACACTAAGCAACATGAAGAGAGATTTTTTTTTTGTAAGTCCGGAGGGATTTCAACAAACTATTCTTATGACATCTAAATAGCCTCTGTGTCTTTTATCTGGTTGAAGAGGTAAGATGAAAGACAAGAGTCTATTCATAAGATTTAATACTAATGGTTATTTAGCTTTCAGCATCATCAATAACAAGTCCCATTAGTCCACTGTGTGTTTCATGCTTACTGCATATGTGACACAGTTATTTTATAGTTAAAGAAGTAACATTCCTCATTTCTACTGCAAGCTGCAATTCACTAAATGCCAGTGATACGAGTTATGTATGAGTGAACCTAGAAAAAAACTTTTCAAGCCATATGCAAACTGTACTTATTGAACTTTATCATTTAACTGCAGGCAAAGAATATTTAAATACCCACAAGATCCATCCTTCTAAAGTTTAAACACTTCAGATTACTGTGAAGACTGATGCATAAACATTGGTATATGCTTTTTTAAAAGTCAAAAGTCAAACATTCATCTATGCTTATTTGAAATTCAAACCCAAACTATTTATGTCAGAATGCAAAGTTTTTTAAGAAGAAACAGAGAAGAATCCAGATTTCTCACTGCAGTGAGATTCTAATCTGCTTTTTGTGTTTTTTGCTTACATGTTTAAAAGACACTTGAAAAATGCAATAAATAAATTTGCTGATGTAATTTAAAAAACTGAACTCATGATTACACAATTTAAGGCTTCCAATTTAATTAATCCATATTAAAATCAGTGTTGTATTGAAAACAAACTGAAAAACGAGGCTTAAAATAACTTTTTAAAAACTAAGTCTGCGACAGAAAAGCTTTTTTTCTTCTATTCATGTCTCTCTAGTGCTAGAAGACGACATACAAAAAATACCTATCTCATCTTATCTAAGATGACAAAGCCTACCTCTGGATTTATAACAAATATGCACCTACTTGTTGGCTACCCTCTTTATCAGTTAAAATTCCAAAGTGGAATTGGCAGATGTCCAAACACTATGCTAGTGAGAGTTAAATGTATTTTAAAACTACAAAACAGTACATTTCTTTAAAACAGAATATGCAATAGTGGACAACAGCGACTACAGCTTAAGGGTAAAATTTCAAAAAATTGCTTTTCCTAGAGTTAATGCTATTAAATTAAAGTACATGTTAGTACATAATTCCTTTTTGTCCACAGAATCATTAGGAGCTTTTGCTGCTGAACTGTATAAATTAGTACTGACATGACAAATCTTTGTTAGAAGATAATGAGAGCTCTATTAATATTTCCAACACCTCACCCTCCTGAGCTTAGGTAAAAGAATAACTTACGTTTGGAATGTCTCTCTTGGCCATGAGAATGAAATGGTAACCTAATCCTGGAGCTGTAAAAAGGACCAGACTGGTAGCTTTGAGTCACAGAGCTACTATCTAAATTGAGTGAAAGTTTGTATTCTGGTGTATCTAGTGGCTTCAGCCTGGGGGAGGGTGCAGCACAGCACCCTTTTGGGCTGTGTGCTTTGCAGAAAGCTGAGGCACAGAGTGGAGAAGGGATGGTGATGTTCTGAGTCTCATCTTGATACAAACACAGGATGGGGCGGGGACACGTATCTCAACTGGGGAGCTCAGACATGTTCCTGGGACTGTTGGTTCACACAAAGAATCCCAAGCTTTGATGGCCAAGCTCTGATGCCACACAAGTCTATACGAACTAATGAACATGTGTGTACATATTACAAACATAAGCTTATGTTCCTAGAGTAATGTTAACACCTCGTACACTTTTCAAAAGCACCATGAACTGCTGAATTATGCAATTATTCCTTTTTAAGCAAGATCAGATAACACAACATTTATTTCCTTATTACATTACACAGACTGTTAACATAGAAGCCTGATGCTGCAAACACTGAGTCACAGGCACAGACCTACCTAATCCTGTAGCTCCCCACTGAGCTTTTGACATTTAGGACCTGATACTGCAGCAAGTAGCAACAAGTGCCACTGAGAAGAAACTTATCACACAGCGAGACAGGATTTTTGGAATAATGTACCTAACAGATTTTCAAAACTCATCTGAAATGTTAATAGACTTACTGTCTCTAGATTCTTACCACCTTTCATTGCAGAATTTGCCTGAGGCATGACTGGAAAGCATTCATCATGATTAAAATCTGTAATACGTTCCCTGTTCTCTTACTTGATTCCTGGGAGATGGTATTTGCTGTGCAATGTCTTGTTTCAATAGAAATTAAAAATAACACATATTTTGGATTGAAATTTTTTTTTTATTAAGATAGAAGAAGAATGAATAGATGAAGCAGAGGAGCAGAAAAGAGAGAAGGGTCAAAGAGAACAATATCTTAGTTTCTGTCTGCTAGTGATGTCCCAAATCTTTCCAAAGGTAAGACTAAATCTTTGCAAATTTTTCTGAGTCCACTTCTCTGAAATGCTCTTTATTTTTCAGCTACTAGGTCAGCCAATTCATCATGCCAGGCTCCTATCCCTGGAGGTAATGTAGACTTCAATCTAAGCAGCCTAGCCTCAAACACTGCTCAAGAGCATCAACCTTTCTGTAATTCTGGAAGTCTCCAAGATGTTGGGATATATCCTACAACTCAGTTCTGGGAAGAAGGTTTAAAAGATGTATCCATTTATGAAATTAATCCTGCCAGGTACAGCTAGTCGAAAGAACTGTGAACAGGCAAGCTAGTGAGACCAGGAGATCTAGATCTCCAAAAGCAGTCTCTTTTGGCAAAGCCCAGACAGCCTCAAATGGATGCCAGAATGAACAATATATCATTTTATGATGAATCAGCTTTAATCATGTAAATCCATACTAAAGTTTTTCATGTTTTGCAAGGCACTTTCTTACGAGGTACGATTCAAGAATACATTGGGTCTGATACAGAGAGAGTAAACTGTGCACATTTTTTTTCTACAGAGGGTATAACAGACAATATCTGAGAAGAAATCCGATGGAGCGTTTTCTAAGCAATGAACAGCTTATATCCAGCATTCAACAACATCCAGCATTCCCGTTACCTGGGGATTAGTTGTTTTTTTAACAACAACTAATGCCATGGCATTGCTATGCTGTACTGTTAGTGCCTTTAGCAAGGAAGAAGATGCAACTTCATGGGCGTCCGCAGCTTTCAGTGAGTCATCCATGGTTCTGCATCAGTTCACGAGGAGGTACCAAGTAGGCTAAAGCTAACCTGGGAGCAGACATTGTAGGAGATACTTTGTGAAAAAAATAGGAACAGGTTGAAACTAGTCTTGTTGCCAGCAGGTTTAGAGGGACCAAATCCTGCTGCGTCAAGCAGTCAGGGAATGGCACTGTTGCACTGTGAAGGCTGGGGCTGCCTGACCGGTGCACTGCTGGCAGCTGGGAAAAGCAGCTTCTATACACAGTTGGGGACAGCCCCTCACAAGAATTCAGGCCCTGCCTCCCTGTCACGCCATACTTTAAAAATATTAATTTCTGTAAGAGGAAGAGAATCCGTAATGAGGGCCCCCCTCAGGAGGTATGATGTTCAGTGAAGCACGCTCTTTTGATTAACGTGGACTTGGCCTCAAAGGCAGAGCACACCCATTCTCAACATGTGTAAACCTCCTTGCTCTCGGCGCTAAAACCGACTCCTGATGGACTGTGTCCAATTCCTGAACCCCGCTGTCCGAACGCGTCCCCAGGTAGTCCACGTTCAGGCTGCCATCCCAAGTTTCAGTTATCACAAAAAGCCAAGTGAGCATGCTTACGTGCACCATTTCCCGTTCATTCCAATTAATTTTACAAGCAAATGCACTAGGTAGGCTTCAGAGATTATGACCAGATTCTTATGTTTTGAATCAAGGACTAGAGCTGTTAGTGCAAAGCCAAATCGTGTGTTTTCCCTGGCCTGTCAGGAGCCCACACTGCTATCTGGCTTCTCTAGCTATATAATTTAAAGCGCTTCAGACTAGGTTAAGTAGCAGAGATTAAAGGGGTAGCCTTGCCTCACACACCTGCGCAATGGAAAGCAATGCTACGGTGATGACAACAGGCTTCCAGATTAATTTCTTGTGGGAGGAACTTTTGCTATCCAAGCCAAATTCAACGTACTAGCAAAACAGGTACCTAGAAAGATGTCAAAAAGCATGTTTCTTTGTCTCTCTTGAGGTTATAATGTCATCAGATCATGTGGAAAAATAAAACAATTTCCTTGTCCGTGAGGTAAACAATGACCCAGCAGCTTTTTTAATAGCTTAATATTTTGATGCCGTACAGCTTGGTTCTTTATGGGGTTTACCTGCTGGGAAAGCTTCTTTTAAAGCATGCAGGAACATTGCAATACTCCTTGGTTTAAAGTAACTAAAAGCTTTTCAACAGAATTCAGTGTTAATCTGCTGATACAAAACATACACATTTATGTTGGAGAAGACAGGTCAAGAAAAAAATGTGCATTCCATATGAACTGAAAGGTGACAAGATTAATGGCACACTCTTTTGGGAGGGATATTAATTTTAGTCTTGGACCAGATTCTGGCAAAATTCAATATGCTGCATAGATATGCTGTTACAGAGTATTACTGCACTAGAAGAGCATAGCCGTCAACCACCATCTTTCTCCATTCAGTTTAGGCAGTCTTTAGTTATTCTGGGCCCAGGGCTTTACAGACTTTGAAGCTATGGGCAGAAAACTTTAAATTAATTAGAAATTCTAGGGAGCAGATGGGCAGGTTACGATGGCCCGCACAGTCTCTGTGGCTGAGGAGATGCATCACAATGCTGCAATGTCTGAAGGTCCAAGTATAAAACCTTGTGCTGACCAGCTAAGTGGTGATAAATGTGTGAATGAATAATGAAGAAAGAAAAGTAGACAGGTTAAAACAACTGATACACAATCAACAGGAAAATATCCATGGGTGGATCTAAAAGTATACTGCTTCTAGTCAGACTGAATTTTAGCTCAAAAGTTTTCTCTTTAAAAGAGATTAAGTTTTCTCTTTAAAAGAGATTAATAGCTGTGTTCCCAAGTACTAGTTAAATGTTTTAAAAAAACCCATGTAAATGAGATACTTTGTATGAAAATGTGTTCATTATGGAATCCAGAAGCATATGTTTAATCATTTGGAAATGAGACAATGCACATATTATTTCGCAGTGTGAATTCCATTTTAAGAACAAATATAGAACATTCTGTATTGTCATTCCTTTCCTAACAATAGCTAAAATTAACTTTTAAGTTTAGCCATTACACAAAGCATATTAAATTAGAGTTATTGAAACTACTTGATAATGCACTAATCTAAATTGAAGGGCCCAAGAGCAAAGTCCCTGGTCTAGATGACTGGGCTGTACAGTAGATATCTGCAACCATTAGCATTGTTTTCACTACCAGAACGCTAATGCACGTATCACTATTAGAGTATCCTTTAAGGAACTGAGGGCATTAATACAAAAGCAACTAGTGCTGTTCAGTGGGCGACACCTTTTCCAAAATACACCAAACTCCTCTAGCTCGTGCACTTTCCTATAACACTCTACATCACTTCCAGGCAAGGAGCCTGCTTCTCCTCTTCCGCGAAGCATGGTCAAATGCTCAGCTCGATGTCTCACGTGAAGCAGAACAGTTGTGCTAGGAAGCCAGGTGCAGCATTTCCTTTGGCCTATGGGAAGATGGGTAAGGTGAGACAGTCACTGCCTCTGTTGACTTCTGCACCATTTTCTCCAGTCTAATTAGAAAGAACCAGGTTGGCAGTCTTGTAAGTCTGCCAGCATCTCTCCTTCACTGTGTGCATGCATGCTTGTGCTATGAGTAAATCAGATTGCCTGCTCTGCAAAAGTCAGGAAGGAACTTCCCAAAAGACTGGGTCGGTTAAGGCTGGGCAGATTTTTTGGCTTTTCTCCCAGCATCGATTATAATATTAGAAAAAGAAAATCCCTCAACTGAAATATATTTATCTGGATAACAAAGTCCACTGCAATTCCATTCAAGGACTAAGTGGTGGAATTTTGAATTTTAGACGTGTAAGTCAAAGTCTCAGTAAAAGAGGCAGAGATACTAGCACCCTGGGAGCACAGCAAACGAACTGCTTTTTCTTTTCCTAATACAGTGTATCTCAATGAGTATTAAAGTGGTATCTCCATACAATAAATGAATGACTGGGACCTCTGTCTACACACTGGACAGGGAACATACCTGGATATACCTGGTGGTTAAATAAAATTGCAGACTACCATTTATACCTTATTTTCATAAGTCAGTGACATTTTCCATCTGATATCAGAGACTGGGATTACTCTGAAAAACCAGCAAACACTTATGCAAACTGTGAAAGTGTTGTGGAAATAAAGAACTATCCCGAACACCAAACTTCCTTTGCAGTATCTCAGCTTTCAAAGAACATAGTCAATTTAAAAACCATATTTTTATGCTTTATCTGCTTTGCTTGAAAGTAATACTATGACTGCTATAATTATTAAAAATAAGGGGTAAAAACATATGCACTGACTACATTGTATAGTCAGATTCACTGCTTATAATCAACTTCTTTTGTGAGAGACAGAGACAGGAAGAAAATAAAAATTAGAAGAAAAGTGATAATTTGGACTTTGCCAAGTAGAAATACAGAGACCAAAGAATTTCAAGATAGCTGAAACTCCCCCCGAAGCTATTTAATTCTTCTTTTGAACAGACTACAATTCCATTTATAATCTGCTAAGAAACTGTATTAAATAATATTTTCTGGTAACAATAACTTCAGATTTTTCTCAGTGGAGAATTCCGAAGACAAAATTTGAAGCAAGACAAAAAACAAAATAGAGACATTCAGGCTCAGGTATTTAATTAGCTCCCAATAAGCTTATGTGTTTATAACTAAATCTGTCCAACTGTATCAAAGTTTCTCTGGAAATTTTATACTTTAGCTGTGCATTCATGCAGAATAAAGATCCTTTTTCTTTCACTGTCATGGCAGTTAAGTCTCAATTGAAATTGGTTTTGAGGAGCAGACAACCTTATTAATCCTAGCTATTTTAATCTGGTGACTGATGAAAAGATTCAAGAAAGGAGATGGTTGTTAGTGAGTCAAACAATTTTTAACTGAACTCTGGATGCATATTGAGGGAGCAATCAGAAGACAGTTTTTGTTTATGCCTAGTAAATATTAAATGTGTTAGCAATACTGCCACTTCCATTTTTTCCCCAGGCAGGTGAAAAAGTAAAGAATATGAGCTGGACCAACTCTTTGTAGAAAGTGCTGATGCATGATAGGTTTATAAAGCAGAGCCCTGTATAAATTTCTTACTGAATGCTTCCAACATGAGCAGTAGCTGCCCCATGCCTGATTACCCGTTTTCAGTTTACAACTGAAAGCAAGTTTGTGGTGAGAAAAATATCCTTCAGCTACGCTATCCAATTTAAGCATACAACAAAAGTAGTGCTGCTGATGCAAGCAGCACCTTACAGTAATAGCTGGAGATAACCCATCTGTACTGTCCCCCTCCTTCACCCCGGTTCATCAGCTTCTTCTGAGGTGTTTTCAGTATGCTCAGGACTTCCCCCTCTCTGTTTTCAGTCTCATTCAATCTCATCCATGCTACAGAATATCTTGTCTCTGTGCTAACTAGAGACTGAAGAAGAGATGGCAGCTAGTAAAGACTCCACTTGGGGAAGAAGGTAGGTTACACTGGCAGGATTCAGGGGAAAACAGCCAGAAGAGAGCAGGAATTTACCTGCTCCTTTCATTGATGAGCTGTATTTGCCATTTGCTAATGGTCTGCAATCCAGTGAAACTTCTAACCCAGTTGGAAGATCATACTCTGAGGTTGTTTCTTCTTCTGGTCTGCATCTAAGCCATTTCTTTCTGGAATTGGACCTAACTAAAGTAATCCTTGCCTTTGTCACCTCAATGACAGCAATTACATTTCAAACCAACTCAGAATAAGCTGATATTACTGCAACAGCACCACTTGGGTAAGTTTAAGGTATCAATTTCTATTTGGAAAGCCATCTTTTCTCATATGGTGATACAGAATATTTTCTGAGTTTTTCTTAAATAGAAGAGAGTTACTTTGAAACAGAAGCTTACAGAAACTAAATAATGGTGTGATCACACAGTAATAAAATACATTAACTGCATACATTTCATCAGGAGATTCAGAGATGACAAACATTTTTCTTTCCCAGTTAGAAAGTAGTTGACAAATCATGCACTTTCATTTAATTAAAGCACTAATACTAATCCTTATATACTTATCTAAAAACTCTGAAAAAAATAACAAAGTTCAAAGGAAATACGACAATGCTTTTGTAAAGAAAAATGTATCTCTATTTCATACCCGAAATACTGTTTCGTCTCCAGCTATTTTCAAATCATCTTCCTTCCCAATGATTCTCTGTAGCTGTATTTGTTAAAACATGAAAAAAACACAGGAAAATTACAAATTTGGTCTTACAAGAGTCTCCTTTTTCAGAAACTTGCAGTAATTTAGCTTTTTCTTAATTATAAAGTCATTACATTTCTGCAAGGTTCTCTAGTCATGACAAAATATTTGCAAACTTAAGGATATTTTGCTATTCAGACACACTTTTTCCCAATGTCTTATCTACTGTGGTTAATATAGCCAAGTAAAGCATATGAATCTACCTCTTGCAACCCAGCACCTACTCTATTTTTAGAGGAGATTTTCTTGCACTAGAAGCTTAGCATTCACTCCATGAGATTTTGAAACTCAGGGGTATAAAATCAAGGGTCGTTCAGGAAATAAAAATTATCCTGTGATTTTCATGCTGTCCTCCTAGACAGCTTTACATAGTTTTGCTACAGATGTGATCTTCTAGACATGAAAAACATACCTGTTCAAATGAGGCACTATACAACTAACAACAAAGAATAGTTTAATTAAATAAGCAAACGTATTTTCAGAACTGGCATTAAGCAGAATGTGGCTTGAGTTTCCTCTCCACCCCACAAATAAATGAGTCTTGAATGTGTTAGCTGAGAAGACTTTTAGAAGTACTGAAATGACTCACATTTAAAAACATAACTTCCACTGCCCCAAGTAGAGTTTTAAGGTAATATAGAAAGTGCATTAATTTGCAGCACCTCAAGAATATCTCAGCTGCAACGTTTCTTTGACTGTATTTTAGCTTGGGAGGTCAACACTGCCACAAGAACGAGTGATTTAACATAGCACAAGGTATACCTACCTTTCACAGACATTTGCATGAATCCTCAAAAGGACAGCACAAATGAAAGAATAAGGGACTTATTACATTTCAGGTATAGATATAGACTTACACTGAGCACTCTGGATTTGGAGACTTTAGGAAAGATGCTTTTAAAGCTCAGGGTTTTCGAAGCTGCTGGTTTGCTTCTCAAACACTTCTGAGTGATTCCTCACCCTGCCCATTAAAACTGGGAAAAAAATCCATGACCAAATTTGCATAGACATTATTTTGTGGGGTTTTCAAATATCTTCTTAAGGCTTTATTTTTTTCCTTTTTTTATGGTTACGTGGTTCAGAGAAGCAATATGGGCTTGTAAGTATTGAGTAGGAAAAAACTGCTAACTGTTCCTGTTGCCAAAGGTCTTCCCTTGGCCTTCAAATTTTGACTAATTCACCTGTTCTGTTTTTTTTTTTTTATAAACTCAGTTTTTGAGTTCCTCAGGATAGTTACTTTCTATGATTATTTTTAAATGGCATGCCTTGATGGTATTTATCAAAATAAATACTGTAACAAGACAATTAAACCAGTTCTTCCAAGTTTCTCCAAATTCCTTCTATTTTTCATCACTTACAGAACAATTGACTAGTACAGTAAAAGCATTATGAATTTCTTCATGGCAAAATAGCAATATAGAGCTCTGGATAAAAACACAACTGCTCGTCCATATTTTTACTGAAAAATTAAATTTTTTCTTACCTGAAAAATCCATCTTTTGTTCACACACAAGAAATATAACTGCAAATACTTTCCAAACAAGAGAAAATGAGATTTTTTTCTTTTGGATTTTATTTTTGAATGACTCTTAAAAAATCTGCAGAGACTACTAAAGAACACAGAGATACATATATATAATTTTTTTTCACAAGTGTTCTGGAAGATTTAGTTTATTGTTTTCTTACACTGTATGTAAATCCTTACAGTGCTTGAAACCATTTCCAGTAGTTTGTAGATTTTTTCCAGCACAGTGCAGCAACTACTCATAGAGGGAGAAGAATTCTGCCCTCAGAAAATGGACTCTAATACTCATCTGCTCCATGTAACATTTATCTGTATTTAATATTTATATCTATTCATCACTGGAAGATACTAATGGCTAATTCAAAGATAATGAGACCTATTATGCACAACTGATGTCTCTTTACTAAAGACATACTAAGAAGTAATCTTTTCTGAAGGAGACAAGAACTGGCAGAAAGGCTATGACAGTCCTAAAAAAAAAAAAAAAAAGGTTATTTTGCATCTTGCTGTTGTTCAAGAGAAGTTAGTGCTTGTGGATATTCTAGGACTTCAGAAGTGTTCTGTACCAAACCACCACGGCTGCTGACAGTGTTGGGTGCTGGTTCATTCAGCCCTAGATGAACCTCTACAAGTTTTTTGTGTATCTGCTGTCCAGGACAAGTGTATAAAGACAGTCTATTTAGGAAGTTTAAACCACATAGCTCTTGCATGTGCCATCAGAGTCACCCTACCTCCATTCCCAGTAGCTTTGAACTGTCATTAATTTTACTTAGAAATCTTTCATCAGGACAGCGTTAGGGAAATTCCTCACTTGCTGGGGATTTTGGCATCTTTGGTAGCCTTATTCTTGATGGGAGGTCTCAGGTTAATGTGCATGGGTTATTACGTGCGTGTCTGGAAACCCCCCTCACCAAGTCAAATGTGAATATCTTGGAAGTGCAGAGTTCACAGAAGTATCTCACTGTCCTCGCAAAGGTGCAGATAATACGGTTCTGAGAAACAATTCTTTGCACTCTGGCAGGGGCTGATTATAGGATGGTAACTAACATCTGTGAACATGCCACTTCTACCACGTCTTCTTCACCCTGGAGTTGCAGGGCAAAGCAACAAATCCTTGCGGATGTCCACCTCAAAATACAGACTGCTGTGATTCTGGGCCCTAATACTGAAATGTCTTTTGTATTGTGAGTGTTTACCACTGAAACATGGATGAAGCAGAAATTAAAAATAGACTGGCTTGAATACAAAGAAGTAGGGAGGAGAGAGAACAAGAGTCTGTCCCTGGGAAGGGACAGACTTTTAACTCCTACTGGAAAGGAGGAAAATGTGCACAGAAATGGAAACGCTATGGAGGACAAGATAAATTCTCTCCTTCAAAACATGGAATTGCATTCAAGATCTCCTTTCCTGAACATTCATTTATGTTAGTGAAGAGCACTAAATCTACTGGGAAATCCTGCATCTCGCACTCCTTCAGTGTCTGATCCGTACAGGTCTGAACAGCCTGTCTCCATCACGTGCTGCAGGCACTCAGGACTTGGGTTGTAGAGTCTGCTTGTCACCCTTCTCCCTCTCCTGAATGATTCACGTGACACATCTTGTGCCTGTTTATTCAGTAACACGTGAGAGTTGAGATATATACAATTCAAAGAATGATGGACATTTTGCAAACAAAAAGGCAAAGTTCTTACCTCAAAGAATTTACAGTCTAGATCAACAGACAATGTAGATGTACATAGATGTCTAATCAGTAGAGGTGACAAAGCAAGAGAATGAAGTAGCACTGAAATTTCTTTTCCCATCACATCCTGCCTTACAGTAACTGCCTCCTAATGACTGCTTCTTCGCAGCTCTTTTCCACTGCCCTTTCCTTACATATGTTTCCTGGTATTATTGTCAAATATAGTGTGGAAATAACTAATAGAATAGTTCAGACATATTTTTCTGAGATGCCAACTGGGACAAGACAAGTGATAAATTAGCCACACAGCTGACTGTTTTATTAGATATACAGAAGCTTTCTATGATGCATACAGAACTAGAGTATACAGAGATTAATGCACACACATTCTTCCAGATTCTTACATTCTAAAAGTTTTATTTTTAAACTAACCTATAAAAATCAAGTTTTGCTTTGAAATAGTCACCGCTTATAAATGTTAAGTAAACAGTCATGTGAGAAAACTCATCTTTTGACTAGCTTGCATCCTTGTGGGACTTCTTTGAATTTAATAATTCTTGTGAGTTGACACTGCAATTTATATGGGTTTATTTTACCACTCTATATTAATTTACCAATACAGCCCATAAAGGAAATGCAAAGTAACAATTTAACTAGAATAATTTTCATTTAATTTGATTGCCTCTACAGGAATCAAGTTATTTGTAATGATTTGTATAATGTTTTCACCTCTACTTTTGATGACTTTCTGTTGTTCATACTGGCTGATTCAATTAGAATTACCTGAAATGGGTAATGGATATTAAATATATGACATACTGTACATCTCCCAAAGAGCGTTGTGCTGTATTTCTGCAAGAATCTCCTTATTTGCTTAACTGACACAGTACCTATTTAAAGGAAGCACTGCTAACATGGCATTTTGGTGCAGAGGCACTACAGGCTGAATACGTTCACTTGTGTTCATGGACTTACTTTCCCCTGTAACATACTGTTTTGTAGATGAACAATACAGCCATAACAGACATATTTTGGTGATCAGGGAACTGCTACTCTGATAACAATTCACTAGCATTGTACAAGGTTTAGTAGGTTAAAAATAAAGGCTTTAGTTAGAATTTGATTTCTTTTTAATCAGCAGAATAATTAACATTTTAACAGAGGAAATTCTTCAAGCTTAAAAGATTTTGCGTAGCAACAAATGAGTGCAGGGTATCTGCAGGCTCAGTTAGAGGCTTCTGGGAACACTGTCTTGGGAAATGGTCTAATTTCAAGTATTATTTTCAAATAGTACTACTAAGTCGAAAAGTATTTAAAAATATTTTAAAATATATTTAAGTACGACTCATCAATTGTAATCTTGCTAAGGGACAATTCACTGAAAAAATGGCTATCAGTGCAAAATACATGCTATTGTATCATTAATTCAGAGTTTAAGGCTAAGTACACATAAATAAATTTTTGGTAATTTCTCTATCAACAGATGCATCTTTATGAGTTTTAGATTCTATGGTTCTCTAGAGTTGTTGCATTAATGACTATCTTTAACTTTATCCTAGTGACAGAAAAGAATTTGCATTGTAGTAGCCACTTCAACTTCCTATAAAATTCACCTCCAATACAAATGAAGGATCTGAATTAAGCTGAGGGAGTCTATTAAAAACTATGTTTGTTAATTTTACATTCGACTTTTGACAAGAAGTATTTAGTTAACAGTCTCCTGTAAATACTTAAAAGTTGAATAAGCTATATAATTAAGCCTATTCTTCTTTGAAACATCAGAGCAAGATTTTCTTTGTTTTTTAAGCATCTGCCTTTCTCCTCCAAGTTTTATACAAAATATGGGAAAAACTGCTGTTACTCTTCAAAGCGTGAATTGGTAAAAAACCTGTGCAACAGCAAACAAAATTAATAAAAACCAAGAGAGGATGGTGAATTAAAAAAAAAAATTAAAAACATTTAGAAAATAAAAGACTTTTCCAGATGATTATTTAAATTAGCTCATGGGATTAAGAGATGCATACCAACTCCTACCTTCCAAGTAACAGATTTTTAGATACAAGTCAAAGGTAACATTTATAAAAGTGGATTCAAATATAAGAAGTACTTCTATAGCAATGCTTTGGTATGTGCCACTTTCACATAAAGTATTTTAGTAAGTATGTGATCATAGATTGGACTGAAAAATAGACTTGAAGATTTTAATGAATCTTCATTTAGCAAATATAACCCATGGAACTATTTAAATGCTTTAAAATTAATATGCACATAAATCCACATACCTTAAAGAATTCTTTCTTTTCAACTTGTTCATTGCCATCTGTATCCAACATTTTAAAGGCAATCTGAAATCCAGTCTGGGGTTCTGCAATAAATTGCGAAAGAACTTTATTGTACACACACACACACACACACATGTACTTAAACATTTAATGCAAAAGGAATATTGCCTATGGTTCAGTTCTCCATTGTTATGCATGTCCATGATATTTCCAGTAAGCCATATGTACCTCCTCCAATATAAGCAAACTTTTAAAACACCTTTTTACTACCATTTCAAGGGATAATTAATGCAATGGCAAAGCAGGAAATGCCAGCAGTGCCTAAGTACAGCCACGAATGTCCCTCTGATCCCAATGACTGTGAAAATGTTGTATGTCTTAATGTCCTGGTCTTAGATATTCTCTACAGATGTCTCCATCATCCCATGTGTCACTTCTGAAGTCTAGTTCTGCCTTGTTTATTAGAGCTCTTTTTCAGGTGGGAAGACTGGAAAGTGCCTTGAGAAGCCAATAATTATTCCCAAACTGCGTGAAAGAGCTAGTGTACTCGTCAGGTACTTCTTGCATGTATTACTGTAGGCCAGTACTTGCAGTCTTCCCTAGTCTTCCCTTAGCAAACAGACTGATCTTGTAATCGCGGCCAGCTCTCTCGGCTCCTGCTCCTGCTGTGTTAGCCCCAGGCCTTTTTTTTCCTTCTCTTCTCCTCCCTCCCTAAACAATGTACTCAAATGTACTGAGAAGTAATAAACCACTCTTTCTGGTCTTTTTGGACAAAAGCATGTTTTGTATGACTCCCATCAAGCTGATTTTTTCAGGAATTTTATACAATTTTACCCTGCATTTCCTTGACCGAGTGGATGTTTCTTTTCAACACAAAAAATGTAATGAGTTCTGAGTCTTGCAGGCGCTATAAAACCACAGTCTGTTTTGAGCTCCTTCCCACAATTTCCTGATCTTACTTTGCTTACAGGAGGTGGCCTTGCTCATTAGCAAGCCCACACAGGAGCAGCATGCCACTGAAATGTAGTTACAGTTCACTGCAGTAGCAAGCACTTATGCCAGTAATTTCTGGAGCAGGTGAATTAATTCCACAACCCAGTCAAGTCAGGCATTAATATGAAAGCCACGGATTTATCGTCTCTAGAATACATTCATGTTTCCAAGAACAATGTTGTACTCACGAGGGCAGTGAAGCAGTATCTCTAAAAAACCCTAATGTCTTTAGAGTTTTTCTTTTGGAAATATATTCTTCCAGCTCCAGCCTGTGAAGTTTTAAGTCTTACTTTTTTTTTAGAGAATCTTTCTGCAAAGGGAACAAGTTAAAGAAGTATCCTGTTCTTTTTAAGTGATAACAAGATGGTTAAAGAAAGTACTATTTTTACGTTTTAGAAATAACTACATCTTCAGCAGCCAACTAACGTTCTCTGTGGAGCAACCCTGTGATGCAGGGATATTTTATAAATACTGTTGCAATCTGCATAGCAGGGCCCTTCCCCAGCAACTGGGTTGTAATAATCAAAACTGGCTTCCTTTCCATGGAGATGCCACACGCTAGATCTGTGTTACTAGTACAAGAGCAATAAGAGCCTACCCTATAACATATTTAGAGAATAAAAGTAATTGACATATTTAATAGTAATTCATACCATCTGTGTTGCAATTTTCAGATAAGAGAGCTGTTACTGAAAATATAGGACCTAAAGCTGCCTATACTGTTCAGAGATGACATACTTATCTGATATGATGTAACCCCAAAGGTATGTGTTCGTAAAATAAGCATAGTTCAAAGACTACCTCAGATATATTTGTATTTAATTAGAATCAGGCAAAATTCCAAAATCTGAACAGAAGAGCTTCATCCTAGCTGTGAGTGCAGGTTAGACTTAGGTGCTTCCCCTGCAACCATTCCTATGTTGACCAAGCTGTCAACTTGTGTGACTGGCTAATTGAAATGAAGCTTTGAGTCAAGGTGATAATTTCAGTTCCTGGGCTCCTTCACCAGAAGCTCCATTAACCAATTGCTGGAAATGAAATTCAGTACAGCACTGGAAGAAAAAAGGTAACCATGACACAAGGCACACAGAAAAGAGAAAAGGGGATCAAAGGGGGCAAAATAAAGCCATTGTCTGCTGCAAAATTACATTTTCAAGGCCAGTGTTGTTATAGATGGTGCTTTTGTACGACAAGCAGCATGGTCTGGTCAGCAGTGTCCTGGAACCAGGACTCTGGAAACCTGGTGACTCTTTTCCTGTTTCCCTATTGCTCTGTTGGTGACTTAGAAGTCATTTAAATATTAATGGCTGCTTTAAGAAATTTCACATTAATTCTCACTAGCGAGAGGGACAGGTTGTGTAACTGGGGGCTGACTGACATGGGATGCTTGTTAGGCAAAGATAGAGGAACTAACACTTGCTGACATTTGCTTTCAAACTGATCGGTATGATAACACTCTGTGTAACCAAAGCAGCGACCTTAGCACTGCATTTTATCCTGCATCAAAAGGTGCCTTTGTTTTTGCAGTTCAATACATTCCTATATAAATTCTGTAAAAAATAGTGTTACTTGATTGTCTGAAGAAGTGGAACAACTTGCTCTGATACTGCTTCAATTTTCTAATTGTTTCAGCCAATAAATCAGCATGCATTTACTTTCAACTGCCACAGATTTTTAAAGAAATAGAATCTTTGGCACCTATTTCTGCAACTTTAATTAAGGTATTCTTCTGAAGTTATAACATGGTTGTGCTTTTTTAAAAAAAAAAATCCCTCTTCTTTGAGTTGCAACAAGTATTTTTAAATCAGCTTTCTAACCGGGCTAGACTCTTACGTTATTTCTGGTTTTAAAAAGCACTTGAACACATGGTATAACTCATGTTCAAGTTGTGTGTAGCACTGGACAGTCACTACTGGTGAAACAGTACATTTGCATGGTAAATAGGTTATTTATATATACTAAGTAATATTGTGTACTAGTTGAAGTTCCTAGTAGGAACTGATGCAGTTCTGCTGAGAAATGACGTAAGCTGTAAAAGGCCTACCTAAACTGCGCGAGAGGTGTGTATGTACTGACAGCCGTTGTCTGTGAAGACTGGACTCTCGAGTACAACGCTACTTGTTCTTACTATAGCGTGACAGAGTGGATTTCTAGAGCAAGGAAAATTTGTCAATTTGTTTAAGCTCTTGCCATGGACCTCGCAGCCACGGAAGTGATGAGGCTCAAGCATCTACAGTCCATTGGGATAAGAACGATTGCTTCCTTCTCACCTTTCCCCATCCACTGATACTATGAGATCTAGTATGCCTGGTTTTGTCCCTTGCTTAAAATGTTAGACCTGTGTAAATCAGTCAAACAAGAGTGCATGTAGACTATTACATGGACATGCATGTGGACTACTACACTACTAGTCTATGGGTCTCACTGCATAATGCTCACTGCACACATCTTATCTCAAATCTCGGTATTTTCCAGCATCACCTACGCTTCATGAGAACAGCACAGGGAAGTGGCAAGCGTGGCACAGAGTACATATGGGTGAGGAAAGCCAGAAATCCAAGATCACTTCCATGCACAGTTAAAAAATGACTGCTGCTTGCAGATACAGCAAGTACCAAACAAAAAAGTTTTTTAAAAAAGTGTCTGATAGGGAAACAGGAAGGAGGCAAAGGAGGGGGCAGAAATACATGCAAAATACTTGGAGGAAATAAAGTCAAAAGGAACAGAGGGGGAAAAAAAAAGAATTAAAAAGTCGAACAAAAAGACACTGCAGAAGTCTGCTGTTTATGTATATCATCCATTGCAAATGTGAACACATGAGTAATAGGCAACAACCTTTCAGACACCACAACAGCTTTTTACACCACTGCATGAGCTATAATGTTAATGTCTCATTGTTCAAAATGACTAAAACTACTATCCAGAAATCAAATTATTTATCTTCCCCCACTGTTCTTCTTCCCCTTATTATGTGGTCCTGTAACCAATGTCTCCCCTCTCTCAAAGTCTCTTGAAAGACTTCACTGATGCCATGGTGCAGGGACTATCATGATTTTTGAAGTACTGCTATGGACCAGTGATGATGCTATGGAAGTAAGTTGCAATCTATTAAAGCTATATCCATTTATATTAATGCTTTATCACTCTATATACAATAGTTCTTTATGTTTTACTATAATGTAGAAATTTAGAAGTTAAAAACCATCAGAATAAGTTCCCGGAAAGCTGTTAGTAGCTGAGTATTTACGCATATGTATTTTAAATATATAATACTTACTCGTGAGGATTGTCAGCAAAAATAGGTACTCTGCATAAGATATCAACCCTGAAATAAAAGAATTAAAAAATGACTTGCAAAAAGAAAATAGACTTATAGCAAGACTTGAAAGATCGAATCTTATAAATATAAAAAATGTAGTTTAACATTGTATTAAATAGGTTATTAAAGTAAGCCACATTATTATTTAATAAAGTTTTTACTTCTGTTTTTAGTGCTCTGAAGGTAAAATTCCCTATCCAGAGATTCATCAATGTTCATGTCTCATCAAGAAAGTAAGGTTTATTTGGTATTAATAAAAGGCCTACACTAAATCTTTGGATTCTCACTGAAAACATTCAATGTTTATATAAAAGGCAAATAAATTAAATGTGCTTTGTCACATTTAGTACCTGGGAGGAGAACTACTCTAATGTTACCCTGAAGGATCAAAGTCCTCCATCCTTTGGCAGGCTCGCGAAGGCGGAGAATAGCTTCCCTCTAATTCTCAAGGGGAACATGGCAACATGCAAAGCTGCCAAGCTGCTAGATTGTGCTGATAGTACTGCTGGGCCGAGTGCCAAGAGGAGGCTTCTATTTTTTTTTTAAATAGGAACATGTCCTTTCTACAAGGTGAAAGTATTTTCCCCCCTTTTGAAGGAAAATTCCAGTGTTTTCCTTTGAAATACCGCCTTAAGTGAAAAGCCTGAACAAACACAAAGACGTGATAGCGTCAAAATAGAGCGAACGAGCTAAAGATAGAGAGCGCATAACAAGAGTGGTTAAACAACAGAATCTGAACCATCTGCCCTGCAATAATGTTTGGAGAAAAAATATAAAGGGCTTTTTTATAAATCACTTTTCAAAATAACTGAGCTACTTTTAACTTGTGAGCTAAACATTGTATAATGCTGAAGCTGCTTAAAACAATGAAGTTCAAACCTGCCTATCTGTGCAAAGATAAACTATTTTTTATAATTTATATTTAGTTAATTGATAGATAAGGAATCCACTTAAGCTTCAGTGATAAACAATTAACTTCTGATAAATTACTATGGAGAGCCAACAGCATTTGTATTTGACCTCAGATAGTGACTTAACACTTTAAGTACCAGAGTTTAGAAACATTAAATTGCTGAATATAAGAGCCTGAAAATCCAAGAACAAGTCTTAACTAAAGACAGTTCTAATGCTGATCCTGTTGCCAACTCACTCTGGTTCCATATCTCAGTTTTCCTCTCTATCAAAATAGGGCTATCCACCCTATTATCCAGCATGCATCATGTGTAAATCAGCACAGTACTACAGTCATACAATACATTGTGGAAATAAAAAATACTTTCATCTCAAAGATTTAGTTTTGCGTACAAGTTTTAGGGTTACTGCCATTGTAAGAATGTAAATTATTATTTGCATTGCTGTAAAACTTGGAATCGTGTTCCCAGACAAAGTGTCCAGGATTTCTACAAATTCGAAACCAAACAAACAGAGAAAGAACTCCTACCCCTTTTTTTTTAGCTTATACACCTAAGTATAAGACAAGATAAAAAAATGGATAGAAACAAACAGGGGAGGAAAAGAAATCAAGCAAACAGTGTGATGGGCAATGACCAAGATTCCTACTCCCTAATTTTGTTTTGTGTGTGTCACAACAAAAGAATGTTTAAAGGAAGAATATAAAGAAAGACAAGGAGGTAGCTTCTCAACTCTGTATAGAAAACATCTCCCAGCTGTGGACTGCAATGGTATCAGCACAAAGATCCCTGCCTGAGAATTTAACCAGCAAGTGATGAAGGCCAGCATCACTGGCCAGGCAGAAGTGGGAGTCTGCCTCTCAGCTGTCTGGAGATGTGCTGCACAGGGATAGCCTAGGGAAGACGTGGAAGGTGAAGACAAACAGCTTATGCTAGATAAAACAGAACAAGGAGTGCCCAGTGCTGGGATGCAAAAGAAGAGACGACACACTCAAAGGAGTCATGTAACAAAAACATCTTTATCAAAGCATTTGAAAGGATATTAACATGACAGATTGTGTTTGTTAAAGTCACAGAAAAAAAAAAAGTTGTAATAATTGAGATTCAAAATGCTGAGCACCTGGAGAGTTTTAGCTATATAGGTAGACAGGGAACATTGTACCTTATAAAATTTTGCAGAAAGAATCTGCAAAATTTATATGGAGATGGTAGGATGTAAAGAAAAGACCAATTTCAAGACAATACCCTGCTTATTGGCTCAAGGGAGAAGCACGATGGCTCTATTCCCTCGAATTGCAGAGGGCTGGAAAGAAATGCCTTGCAAGAAATGGCAGGGGCAAGACACAGACTCTGTTTTCATCATCTTATCATAAGCTGATTGAAAAGTCACTATAGTGAAATAGGTAAAAAGGTAAATATAATAAAAATATGTAAAAAAAGTTCTTAATTGTATTTTAAAATCTGTCTCAGTGCCTTAAAGCAAATCCACAGCCTGTCCGACGTTTTCTGGCAGACTGATTATACTAAAATAATTTGAGATAAGATTTTTTTTTAACTTGTGGACTCACTTCCATAAAAATTCTTCTTTTAATTTTATTGTCCCTTTACTACCTGTAGTGAATGGCCAATTTACCTTATCCATAATGTAAATTAAATATTTTGGTAATTTTCTTTTTATTCTGCAGTAACCATTACAAAGTTACCCAAATTCAAAGATGTAATGCAACACATTAAAAAATAAAAAAGAAAAACAAACCATAGAAAATTATATTCATGATCAAGCAAATTTTAAAAGATAAAAGCTTCACATGCTGTTGAATGACTCAGCATACATGCAGCCAAGTATCTGCAGTTAGCATGGGCAAAATACTGTCATTTTCTAACACTAAATGAGCCTTCCCTATCCCTCCCTGGAAATCTCTACCCTTGAACTTTACAGCAAATGCTGACAGTACAATATTCTTATTGCTGAATAAATCCTAAGCATACCCACAAAACATGACATGAATTTTAAAACTGCCCACTAGAAGGCAGAATTCCCTAGCATTACATTTTACAAACTGGACTGATGACAGTTTTCCCTCTACTTGATATTTAAATAACAATTTGAAGGTAGTTAAAATAATCTCAGCTAAGTGGAACAGGTGTAGATTCATTATTCTGGTACTTGTAAAAGGAGTATTTAATACATAAATATTTACATTTTTAAAATGTAATAATAATGCATCTCAAAGCAAAAGCATCAAAGTCACTAAAGAGGCATCATGACCAAAAACTAAAAACTGTGTGCTGTGGAGCCATATGGATGACTCCACTGAATGTTTATACATCATCTCAAACTCCTGCCTGACCTTTGAGGGACAGAGTATACGGACCCACAGTCCTAAGCAAGGGGAGATCAATGCCTTGTCCAGAATGCAAAAGATGTCAGGCTGAGCATATCACCACTCCACTTTCTGCCAAGCAGTCAGCTGGGAGAGGTGCAGTAAAAGGAGGCTGTGCTGATTTGCTCCGATTTCACTTTCTGTTTGTGGATTCCCAGTTTTCCCAAGCAGAGTGCTTTGGAGATTTGCAGTGTCAACCACTAGAAAAAGAAAGGCTCTAAAAAAGCAGGGATAGAGAAAGAATGTCGAAGAATTAAAGACTGGGAATCCTTTAAACCCAAACCTGAGAAAGCACATGATGATTAGTAATTTGAAAAGGCAGGGAATGACTATTCAATACAAAATCCAGACTTCCCTAGGATAGGAAAAAACTGTTCAACTTGTTCAGAGATGTTTCAGGGCTGCTGGGGTATGCTGGGGCTTGCAGGAGTGGACTGAAAAGCAAGGCACCCAGCTGAAGACCCCTCCATGTCTGCACAAGGATGCAAGAAATGAGCTGCGCGCAGAAGGAGCCATGAGGCCAAAGGGCAGGCGAAATGCTGCAGGCTGAGATCGAGAGTTGCTCTCTCGCACAAGCTGCCAGCCATGCCCAGGGATTTGCTGCGCGTGGAGAAAGCGTGGCTCATGCCTGCCAAGGAACTGCAGCACTGCAAAAGTAGCTTTATTTTCCAGAAATGTCCACGGGATAAGGAATTCAGGCTGAACTCTACGATACAGAAAGTTTGTGAATAGATGCTGTTGGTCTTCCTCATTAGTTTGGGGATTTCAGTCTTTGTTACTGGTGAAATGGTTAATTACTCATCTATTTGGTTTCCTTGATCCTCTTGTTTGTTTTCTCCCTTCAATTAATTTATGCTAACAAGGTGTTTATTTGGTGTTCTTTAATTCCCTGTTGTTATACAAACAATATCCCAGCTCTCAGAGTTTTCTCTTTATGTAGCCCGATATAAGGTGGAAATGCTGGGTGAAAAGAAACCAAAGCACATTGATGCTGTGAAGGGCCACCGAGCTCCTGAAGAGGGAGAAATAAGTTCATCTGCTCTTGGAATCAGGGATGCCACTTTACATAACTAGATATAAATTTTATTTTTATTCTTAGTTTCCATGCATTTAAGTTATATAGTGAAACAGCAGCTTATTAACAAGAAGTCTTAAAAGTCCGTTTTGTGCCAGAGTCATCCCTTTAGCCCCCTTCTCTTCTCCAAGTAGGCTTTCTGATTTTTTTCATGTCTCCTCCTGCACCTCAGAAGGCTTTCAATTCCCAGCCCTGCCACTTTACTGTCTCTTGCATAACTAAGAGATTTGCCAAGGCGGCAGCTACTGGCTAGATGGAAATGAAGTCAAATCCATGAAACCCTCTTTAAAAATACACTGAATTCATACCATATAATGAAATAAAAAGCAAGATGTATTTTTAAGTTATCAAAAGTGCTCATTACCTTTATCACCAAGCTCTCTAAAAAAGGTCGGTCCTGGTTTAGCTTTGGCAACACACAGCAGTGCAGCATCTACCTCCTTCAAAGACACAAACAAGAGAATATAAAGCCAGATTTGAAAGAGACGTCTATTTAGTTGAGTAACAGAAAGAATGCAAGTTCTTTTGAAGAAGGAAAGGAACATTTTGCTTACCTTTTTTGTCAGTTTCTTGGCTGAGGCTTTACCTATAATAAAAAAAATCATCATCATTCAATAACAAACTGACTTTAAACTTTGATCAGGTTCTGTGGCATTTCTTCAGATTTTTATGGGAAAATGCTAAGTAATATGAAACAGAGTATTTTGCAACAGGCAGTTTGTTTCTAATTCCCACAACGATTAAGGAAGGACAACATTTAAAAATAATATGAGCAGTCTGTTCAAATGTTCTTCCAACCTAGATCAAACCACAGACCACTTTAGTATCTATGACTGACTTACTACTGTGATTTTGCATACTGTGAGCTACAAATGTAGTACAGATTCCAAAGCAAAATTATACAGAATTGTAAGAAACAACTGTAGTATTTACAAAGGGATTTGCATGCACACATAATAATCCTTCAAGTGCAGGCTGAGTATGCAAAAGCTAAGAAATATGAAAAAAGAGAAAAAACAGTGAAAATGTTGATGTTTCTAATAAGCAGAAGTAAATTGAACAACTCTGCCTCCTGAAAGAGCATCAGATGAAACCATGCAAACTCCTAAGTGTTTATTTTAAGTAAGTTTGCAGACGACACCAAGTTG